GGCGGAAGGATCGCCGGAGCCCAGCAGGTCGAGGTTGCGGTGGCCGGGAGCAGCCACTGCACTCCAGTCTGGGCGACAGAGTGAGACTCCAACTCAAAAATAAATAAATAAATAAAAGATGATGGGAACAACATTTTTTTAAGGCTACATGCCTTAAAAATGACTTTTCAAGGATCTGTCTGTATTTTGCAAGAAGATTAAGGTCCAATGTCTATTTCTTAAGGAAAAGCACAATGAACCAGGAGCCAAAGTAAAATCAGAATCCAGACCTGATTCCATCATTTATAAGTCCTGTGTGCATAGGAAAGCCACTTCAACTCACTGTTCTTTTTTTTTTTTTACCTATAAGAGATCAAACTTTAAAATAGAGTGTCAGCCCTCTTCTAGCTCTACATTCTGAGATACTATACAATGTACTCCCTGCTCAAATAAAGATGGAAAGAGTGCCCAAATACCAAGCATGTGATAATCGTGATCATTTCTTATGAGACATAAGAATTTTATGTGGGATACCAGTAGAATTTGCTGTCTGCATCAGTCTCAGACAACACTTAATACAATATTGTCAGAATAATGTAAGGACTACAATAGAGGTTGGTTCAAAGGACGTTTGGCCATTAACATTTAAATAAAAAGTCAGCCACAAGCCTATTTGTTCCAATAAATCAAACTTCTCATTTAATACACTATAATGCTTTTAAACAGTCAAAAAGCAGCAATATTCCCAAAATTAATGAAAGCAAATGCAGTCCACTCAGGATGCTAGGAATTAGGCAGCTAGATGATATGGGTTTATAATCTGTATTCTTCCTAGACTATTTATCTTATCACAGCAACACTCTGAAGCCACACCCAGATGAAGAGCCAGAATCCCCATTGCTCTATAGAACCATGAGTGAAGCAGCCCTGGTGAGAAGAAGGATAAAGCCTCCAAGGATGGACAGAAGAGAGAAACAGAACAACAGAGCTTCCATTAATGGACATTTCTATAATCATGAAGTGAGTGAGTTACAATTCCATTCATGTAATTTAAAATAATATTGTCTACTGCACTGACATACCACTCCACTCAACTTACAATTTATAATAGCAATAAAAGCAATAGTGATAGCATGTCTGACATTTACTGGGCACTCTCTATGCACTAGGAATTCAACTAAGTATTTTAGATAGATTTTTAATGACTCTCTTATTAATCACTAAAGCAATCCTATGAAATAGGTACCATTGTTTTCTCTTCTTTACATATGAATGAATTGACATTCATGGCAGTTAAGCAATTTGTCTTAGATCATACTATTTTTAAGTAGCAACTCTGAACTTGAACCCAGCTTTGGCTGACTCCAGAACCCAAGTTCTTAACCACTTGGATGGGTGAACTTCATTTAAGAGACAGGCACTGTGCCAAGCATTAAAATTAAAAACAGTTGATGTTTCTGCCAGCATGGAGAGTCAGTTGATGAGTCAGTTGATGTTTCTGCCAGCATGAAGCTCAGGGACTGAGCAGAGAAACCAACATACCAGCAATATTGTCAGAATAATGTAAGGACTACAATAGAGGTTGGTTCAAAGGACGTTTGGCCATTAACATTTAAATAAAAAGTCAGCCACAAGCCTATTTGTTCCAATAAATCAAACTTCTCATTTTGCCATGTTCTCTTCCAGGTCTTGTACCTAAACACGTATCAATTTTTTACACAAATGCAGTTGTAGTTCAGATACAACTTATATTCTGATTTTTCATTCAATACATGCTAAATGTATACATGCCTTTCCAAAGAAAGGCATTTCACTTTGCTGAAGGTAAGAAATATATCGTCATTTCTTTTGCAGAATTCAAATATTCGTCATGTCATATTACTTAGCAATCATTCATCCCTTCATTTAACAATACTTAAAGAGCACTTATGGTGTAAGTACCCTTGAACCCTTTAATAAGAAATATTAACTCATTTCTCTGTAAGTTTTTTCCTTAGGACCTTCTATCTTGATTCTTCTTCTTCCACCTTTGGGAGAATATCAGTAGTGTGTCTTTGGAGCCAGGTGGGGGAAAAAAACCTTTCTTCTTAGTTCTTTATTTAGATTAGATACTTTTTCTGGTCCAGGAGTGATCTTTCTGGCCATAAAGTAACCTTGACAGTCTCCCACAGATATGCAACCAGCAGTTGTCCTGGTTTTCTCTTCTCCTCAGAAATGACACTGTGTGTTCTCATCTTGTGGGGTGATTTGTGTTAAAGAAAAAAACCACATTACTCTAAGCGAGTGACTTTCAGATGGGATCACTTGTGCTGAGAGTGAAATTGTCACTAAGTTGGCAGCACAGCATAGAGGTTAAATGTTATAGCCCTGGAGCTTGGCAACATGACTTTAAATTCTTGCTGAGCAAAGTTAAAAGGTTACTCAATCTCTTAGTTTTAGTGCCTTCATTCTTCCTATTTTACAAGGTTGTTGATGGGATTTAACAAAATGAGGTGAGTTAAGCACTGAGCACAGTACCTCACACAAAGGAAGAACTCAAGTTACATTAGCTTATGTTGTTGATGATGGAATGAGATCAAGCTGGGACTATGGATATTTTACACAAATATCATTCACTGCAATTTAATAACTAGCAGAAAACAATACAAACAAGAAAACTAAAGCATTCTCTCAGTGGGTATACAATGATGGACACCTAGGCATTTTGGTTGATATGTTTCATGAGTTGCTGTGTGTCATGCTTTATACCATGAAACCCCTTGATGCCAATAATGTCAAACCACAAATAACACACATTTTAAAGACTTAGATTGTGATATTTGGAGATCATTTATGGTGAATATGACTTGATCAATAGTATATTTCTGCCCATGCAATAATAATTTTATAACAGGGTTCTATTATGTCTTTTGGCCAACAAAACTGACATAAAGAAGATGGATTTGAAATAAAGCTGAAAAACATGATTCCAAATACATTATATATTAGAACTTTAGAAGGACTCTTGGAGATCATTTAGTTCTGCTTTCTTATTTTACAAATGAGGTAATTAAGACCTCAATGTGTTAAGTGAGTTGACAGAGTTGGAGTTAGTAGGCACTAGATCTAGGTCTCCTGAATCCTAATCTAGTGATATTGTCATGCTCCATGAAGCTTCTTCGAATATACAAAATCAAACCACATTTATTCAACATAACTTCACCTCCATGCAGGATGAACATGTAGTTCCAGGGTTCCACAGAGCTCAGAAGTGTCACAGGGTAGCACATCCATGCACCAAAATGTCTATGAACATTGATTTTTCTCATACTTACAAAAGTTTATCCCAGACAACACTCATACATACTCTCTTATTCATATATATGCCATGCATACACACATGCATGCACACTCACACACATACACACACACACACACATACACACACACATATGTATATATTTTTTAAAAAATATTATTTTAATATGGGATACAGTTCAGGATAAGGTAGACGTGATCATCATACAGGTAAAGTTTTGGCCTCTCTTTGGTCCCCACTTTGCCTGGTTTGAGATCAGGTACCCTTAAGTGCCTCCTCCCTTCCCTGGCAGTTTCTTGCTCTTACCAATCCCTTTCTTATAGTGTTATGATAAATGCTCAGGGTCCACTTATGAGTGAGAACATGTGGTGCTCAGTTCTTTGTTTCTGCGATAGATCACTGAGTATGATAGACTCTAAATCCATCCAAGTTGCTGCAAAACCCATAATTTTATTCTTCTTTATGACTGCATAATACTCCATCATGTATCTGTACATGTGTTTTTTATACAGTTTACATATACTTTGATGTTTATTTTTGGATCTCCCAATAGAGGAATCATCTATCTAACATTTCAGTGAGCCAATCCAAAACCTACACCCTTCTCCACATTTGCTGACTCTACCTTATTTCTACAGAATCTTAAAATATTTGAGGATTACTCATGTAAATGAAATATGTGGAAATAAACTTTTATGTAATATCCCTTTTTTAAAAAAATACACATCTCATGACATTCTTTCCTACATTCTACTACGTAATGAGTGAAACATTTTCCCTCTTTTCTGCTCCTGCACTCACAGAGCTGTGTCTCCTCCAAGGTGAGTGTCGTAAGTTCCACATATTCTCTCAAGTATCTGATTGTGAATCTCCACTAACTATTGTTTCTCTTTTTTAATTTTAACATATGTCATTTGTGCCACAGAATTTAAAGTTAATTTAGGTTATTATGAGAAGTAAATTTGTTAATACTTATAAAGGGTTTAAAATAATTCTTGGTACATAAATCAATAATTACTTGAGACTTCTATGACATGATTTGAAATAATATCATCACTTCCAGGAACTATATATTCGGCCTACTAATCAGTAATTTACTTATATATTGATTTACCTAAACAGATACCTCTTGTCCAAGCTCAAACACGTCTTAATCCCTATGTTGGTTTGTAATCAAGAAACAAGTAGAGTCATCCCTTGGTATCTGCAGAGGATTGGTTTCAGGACCCCTCCCTCTCTACTGCAGATACTAAAATCCATGGATGTTCAAGTACTTTATATAAAATGCCATGTAACCTACACTCATCCTCTCATGTACTTTAAATTATCTCTGTTACTTATAATATACAATATAATACAATGCAAATATCATTTAAATAGATATTTTGCTGTATTGTTTTTCATTTGTATCATTTTTTATTGTTGTATTGATATTTTTACTAGGGTTTTTCCCTGAATATTTTTGATCTGTTGTTGGTTGAATTCATGATGTAGAGGGTGAAAGGAAAATCATAGCTAAACAGCTTATTGGTAAGCATTTTCCAAAGTATGTTCCATTGGCTATTAAATAAGTATTACATTTTAAAGGAATTTTATTTATTTTAAAATCAAAACAATCAAATTATGAGCAAAGAATCCATGGCTATGTTTGTGAGGATTTTTTTTTAATAGGACATGACTCATCCCTCAGAAGGATGTCTCAAACTTATCTGACCATGGATACTGTTACCAAGTGCCATCTGAAGGGCTGACACTTGATTGGGACAACCTGTAGAAACCATCATCCTGGAACTTCATCTGGCAGTAGTTTGGCCCCAACGCTCAGTTGAGACATATGCTAACACTGATACATTCCAGACACACCAAAATGCAGTGATTCCATACGGTTCAAACTAAAAATAATTTAGAACAATTACTATTCCCAAACAGTAGGAAGGTATGGTATGTGAAAAAGCCTGTTTATGTTGTTTTTGGCCTATTTTTCATTATTTTAATTTATTTTGAAATATTAGACTACACTGAAGAGAGATGTGATTACCTGGTGAAAATGTTATGAACATCCTCAAATGATGTTTTATCTAACTTACTCTAGAAACAATATAAAGCTGCTTAAAAGGATACATAATAGTCAACAACAAAGAAAAGCAATAACAAAAAAAATAAGTCTTCTTAAAAGGGTAGCATTGTAATTTGCTCCATGAGAAAACCAGGTTCCAGATATTCACCAATGTCAATTTGATATAATTTTAAGGACTTATTTAATCATTTTTTCTAGACATCAATTTTCATTCCAACCTTTGGATCAGAAACTAAGGTCAGAATAAACAGTGACATGAGAACTGAAGAAGTAATAAAGCAACTTCTCCAAAAATTTAAGGTAATCTTTATTACTAAACTGAGTTATAAATATCTTTTATATAACTTAACTGTAAAGACATAAATACACTCTTGAAAAAGACTTATGAACATGTAAATCTAAATTGGATGTTCAGTACTAAAGGATTATTTCCTGTATATAACACCTTTTAGTAATTATGCCCTAGGAAATTATATTATTCCCAAGGGAGGACAGAAGGTTTTATGTCTAAGAGTGAAAAATGGAAATGAAGAAACAGATGTACAATGTGGGTCTGTTTGGCTTAGAAATATCATGTGAGACTAAAAAATTCATACTTGTTCTTTTTTTTTTTTTTCCATTGATAGATTGAAAATAGTCCCCAGGATTTTGCTCTTTACATTATTTTTTCAACAGGAGGTAAGAAAGCTTGGTCATTCTGTACCTGACTCTGGGGTGTGTTTCAGTTTTCTGCCCATGAGGAAGGCAGAAGGAGCAGTTTACTGCAGTTGATGGAAAACAGAGAGGAAGGGTAAGACGGGGGGAGTTTTAGAACATTCTTTATATTCCATACTTTTGAGAAAGATAACCTAAGAATAAGGTATCTTCAATAGTTTTTACAAGAGAATATGCTTGTTGGGCAAACATTAAGTTATGTGAGTGAAGTTCAGAAATCTCTGGGATCCACTGGGAACTCTCCAAGAATTGGACTTCTTGTTGGCTTTTGCACCTGACTCCCGTATGACTGTAGCTCTTACAGAAATCATGATTACATGCCTCTTCTCTCTGACCTTGTTACTGCCTCTCTCAGCACAGGGTCAGGCACATTGTGGGAATGCGATCTCTTCCTCAGTAGAGACATCCATTCAGAATGTGATGTCAGAGGGCAAAGGTTAGAAGCAGAGCACTGGGAAGGCCCGTCATGGGGGTGCCAGGATCAGGCCATGGCAGAGAGATCTGAAAACACATAAGGTGATACTGAAACAGAAGTTTCTAAAACTTCAAATGTTGGGCAACCGCTTCGGGTCCCCTCCCACTGTGGGGGCTTTTCTGTCCTCTCAATAAATCCTGCTTTCTAAATAAATAAATAAAGAATAAAACCTCAAAAGTTAAAAATGTTGAATGTCAAATTGTAGAAAAATCCCAGGTAATAATTGTGTCATAATATCAAAGCCAGAAATTGAATAAAATGAAATAATACATTTTGATGCCAGAACAACCTATAGAAAATAATACCTGGATCTCTGAATGCATACAAAATAAAAATTCTTATGAATTGAAAACTTAAATATAAGATGTATATTAAGATATATATTATCTATCATGAGATATAAATTATATATAAGATATATATTAAAATATGCATTATATATTTATAAATATGAGATATTTATTAAGATAGATACTATATATTGTATATAGTATATATAAGATATATATTAAGATATATTTGAAACTTCTAAGGGTGCATATACATTCATATTCTAGTTTGGAAAAGAAAGAAAACTCAAAGGTATAAAATAAAGGGTAGACATATTGGACTGTATAACAAGAGATATAAACAGTAGATTACAAAGAATATTGTCAATGTTTTTCTAAAATTAATAACTATATCGAAAAGTCCTTGCCAAATGATAAAAAAAGAAAAATCTGATAAAAATATAAAACACCCTGAAAAAACAATTCAAAGAACATATTTAAATGACCAGTAAAAGTCTTAGGAAATGACCAGGAAAAGTCTTAAACTCAATGAAATTCAAGTAGTCAAGGAACTGCACGCTTACACCCTCAAGCCACAGTGCAGTACTATCTTGTACTTATCAGATTGGCATAGTTTTAAATTTAAATTATTTTGCTTTAAAATGATTTTGCCTATGGTTGGCATGCATAAGGGTAAAAGATATTTTCATGCAACACTGGTAAAAATGTAACTTCCTCTCTTTTTATGAATTGTTCTTGAAATATTTATTTACATTTACAGTATACTTATTATTTAACCCAGCAGTTCCACTTGTGAGAATCTATTCCATAAAAATAAAAGTACTAATACCTGCAGATTTATATGCAAGGCTGTTTATAATGACAAAAAAGCTAAAGACAAAGTTACCTATCCTACGGAAATGACTGAATAAGTGATTATTATGCAGCCATTTAATGGAATGGATTAGATTGATGCCAAAAGAATGGAGGGTATTTTAATTGAAAAATGCAAGATTCCTAAAAGTATATATGAAATGATCTCAGTTTTGTAAAACAATTATGAATCCCTATTTAAATATGTGACCCTGTGATCAAGGAGAAAGGCATGAAGTTGTTGTTTTTAAAGGTTAAAAGTCATTAAGACAGGGTACCTAATGGGTGGGTGCGTGGGTGAGTGGGGAGGTGCAGATAAGAGAATGAGAAGGGAGAGAAGAAAAGAAACAAGTAAAAAAGAAAACACTAAAACATGACTTTTTAAAAGCAGTACGACGTGATTACCTTTATGTATCATGCATTTGGATGCATGCATAGAGATGTGTGAAGTGCTGGACACTCAAAGGGTGGTGAGGATTATCTCAGGGTTCTGGGATTCCAGGTGGTTTTTTTTTTTTATTTATTTTTACTTTCTGCCCTATACTTTTCTCCTTTCTTCCAACTACAATAGCATGTGTTTTTTGTTTGTTTGTTTTCTGAGGGGAAGGAGTTTGGTTTTTGTTGTTGTTTTTAAAAGTTAAAAAGCCAGTGATTGTGTGCTAACTTGAACAGCTAAGATATACAAGAAAGGACTTGGAAATTACCTTTTTGATCCCTCCAAGACTTGTATTCCATTTACTTGCACGTTATTTTTTCCTTAGACCTCTGACTTAAGCTTGGAGTTGAGCAGAAACATGGTTTAGTTTCACTCAAATCATTCTTGGGCTCAAAACAAGTGTGTTGTTTTGATAATCGGGAAAAAAAATAGGTATATTGTCATCACAAAAAAAAGAGTTCTTTAAAATTTCACATATGAAAATCCTATTTTCTTTCATATTTTGTTCCAAAATTTGTATACGTTCAAAACTGAAGTTGATAATAACTTTTAGGGACCAGGAACAGATTTTAAAAAATAAGAGCATATGGGACCTGTTTGGGCAGTAATCTGGAAATAGAAATAGGTGGGTCTTAAGTTTATTTATCAATCTACAAAGCCCATAGCAGTGTATTCCACATTTTAGTTCATTTCAGAATTACCTTGAGAGTTCATTTAAAATACAGATTCCCAAACTTTTCCAAATCACTCGTCCAGGAATATGCATGTTTAATAATCATTCCACATAGTCATGAAGCAGAATCACAAAGCAAGAAAACTTACTCTGTAAAATAAGAATAGAACATAGTGAGAACATGTTTCTATTAAAAAAAAATTTTTTTTTTAATTAGCTGGGTGTGGTGGCATGCATCTGTACTCCTAGTTACTGCGGAGGCTGAGATGGAAGGATCACTGAGCACAGGAAATAAACTGTGATCTGTGTCCACCCTGGGCAGCAGAGTGAGACCCCCACTCAAGGGAAAAAAAAAAAAAGAATGGAACAAATTGAGAAAGCAAAACCAAGTTAGCTTTAGACCTAAAGGTCAAAAGAGGATTCTGGTGGGTTGATGAGAGGCGCTAAATTGTCAGGGTTCCTAATTGCTTCGAAAATGGCAGAGGAATTAAAACAATGAATACTGACGCTGTGGAGTCAGAAATGGATAATGTCACTGTAATTGCAGAAACGCTGGACTTTTGAGTTCTGGATTAACTTTTTTCCTGGGAAAAGTCCAGCTCAGGGAATGAGAGCAGTTCCAAAAGAAGGAAGCAAGGAAGGGAAGAATGAGGAAAGACGATAAATACAAGAACACTGTGTTTTCTTCTGGCTTTATTCTGAGAAAAATGAAATCCCAGATGTGAAATTACTTCGACAAAAAGCTAGAAGTACTTTTGGGGTAGTTGTATTTATGTTATAACTTTCGAAAATTTTAAGTGCTGGGACTATACCAAATTGAAACCTTTTTTATTTCTCTCATTTAATGACTGAAAGGAAAAAACCCACTGATGAATGGCATAACAAAAATATTAAACCCTTACCTCAAAAACATTCTGAATATATTTATAAATAGGAGCCAAGAATTGGATGTAGGGTGAGACAGAAAGGAAGAATTGAGAATAATTATAAGATTTTGGACCTGAGCAACTGGAAAAATGGAATTACATTAACTGAACTTGGAAAGAACCAATAAATATTTATTGAATGATGGAATGAAAAACTATAAAGAATGATTGAGGCATATTGCTTTATAAAAGGCACTAGGACTGGAGGCTTGTCTGAACATTCTAACCAAAGCAATGCTGAATTGAGATACTAAGTCAAACCTTAGATAGGTAAAGAAGTCCATTTTTAGTTTATATGAAAGTTTTTCCAAAGCCTGTTGTATAAGTCACTTTTCTCACTCAGACTTGAAACCTCAGATAAATCTTTGATAATAAGAACAACTTTTGAGCCCCATGAGAATACTACTATAGTGTGTATATATGTATGTATGTATATGTATGTGCGTATACATATATATGTATATATACACATACATATATATATTTCCTTTATACAAATGACCATAGCAGTTTGTAGCATTTGAGAATTAGGTCGAAAATTAAGCATATAAGAGTCATTTTAGTTGAATAACCAGATTTATTTCCTATATCTACCCTTTTGTACATTAACTGTAGTTTCTCCAGTCCAGACCTTTCCAACACCTTGACCTCAGTTTTTCCAAAAGTTCCAGCAGTTTCCTTGTTTCTGCTACTCCTCAGCTCCAATTGGTCACAACATACTGCAAATTTTCAAAATGAAAATTCTGGACCCTTGCTCAAAACCTTCAGTGATAACACACTACCTGTGGAATAAAACTCTATCACAGTATTCATTACCTCTTTGAATAATATCACTTTATTCCCCTAATGCACCAGGCAAGCTAGGGCACATCGCTGTAGCTCCAAACTTCACTAATAAACTAAGCCTGCTGAAATAGAAAGAAAGTTTTCATTTCAGTTTGCTTTTTTGAGTGAGTGGCTCCAGTTGTATGTGCTTTTCAGGTCTTATTTCTTTCAAAGGGAATTAAAGAAAGAAAACAAATAGGAACATTATCTCCCTTCTTTTCCTCTAGCGTGAATTTCTGACTGTGGTTGATTCTTGCTTTCATTTGCAGAACAGAGACGGCTAAAGACGACAGACATCCCACTCCTGCAGAGGCTCTTACAGGGACCTTCCGAAAACAACGCTCGCATTTTCCTCATGGATAAAGATGCAGAAGAAATAAGCAGTGATGTACGAAGACCATCACCCTGAATTTGTCTTTTCTTCCCTCCTGACTCGCCAGCTCTCACATAAATACTCTTGTTTTCTTGTTTTGTCTTTTCTTTGTTAGGTGGCTCAGTACATTAACTTTCACTTTTCTCTCCTGGAATCCATTCTTCAAAGATTAAATGAAGAGGAGAAAAGAGAGATTCAAAGAATAGTAACAAAGTAAGTCAGGAGTGTGCATGCTGGGTTCTTGGTCCTTTAATAGGGGCAATGCATAAAATATGTCCAATTTTTTAATACTCTTGTTCTTTTCATTTTCAGATTCAATACAGAAAAGGCTATTATACTGAAATGTCTTCAAAGTAAACAGGTAGTAAAAACAGAGACGACAGTTTAGCAGTACAGGCCACTATTGCTAAAACACTTCAACAAAGTTAGAGAGATGTTGCAATTTGATGAATGCATAAATTCTGTACTTGCGTTCATACAAATACATATACCTTAATTCTTTAGAAAACTGAAAGTTAACAAAACTTGTTTCTCTTTGAAGATATAAGGTTAACTAGGGTTCACAGTTGGACTAAAATGAGCTTGAATTTAGTTTCAGTAACTGAAATAAGCTTGGATACTGTGTATTCCACATATCTTTTAAACTAACACATGTAATGACCTTGAATTTAAATAGTGTTTTCAAATGTGCAGCTTGACTTACTTTAGCTTGAACTCTCAAGAGAACTGAAGTATCATCAACCAACTTAGAAATGAATCAAAAGTAAAAGCTGCCAGTTCCTGAAGTTAAAAAAAAAAAGCACATTTTTGCACCACCAGTGACAGTGTTTCATGGCTCCTTGAAAACTCATATTTACATAAGATCTAGGACCACCTTTATATGGTTAGGTGACTTCCGGCTATCTGTAACATCAGAACTATCTGTCCTTTGGGAAGGGAAAGATTATGGACTGTTAAGAAATCCAATTTGTACTTTTCTCAACTTGGGTCCTTTTTTTTTTTCCTGACTCTCTATTCTACTGATGACTTTCAAAACTATTCCTAAGGGTTTTTAAAAGTTAGCTGAGCTCCTTTTATTCTTTCTTTATTATCCCAAACAAATATACCAGAAACTTAATATATTGCATCATCTAAAACAAGATGTGGCCCACAAATACATTTCTGTGGTTGAATGAACACACGCAATGGATACAGCAAAGATGTTGTAGTTGAAGCCGTTGTAGTTGATTTCTGGAGCTCTGCCCTCTCAGCATCTTCCTTATCCAACAAGATAACTCTCAAGGTACTTACAGTTCTGCTTAATCCATTAAAAAAAATACTCTAAGAATGAAGAAATGCTACATATCATATGATTTTATTTATGAACTCTATCCTAACATGAAGTTTTGTTAACATTCTTTCATTCTCTAAGTTAATGTTATCTGCATTTCTCAAAAGCATTGTAATAAAATGTTTGATCATATTACATGTACTAAGGAATAAGGTTGCTTACAATAAGCTTAGATTGATACCAATACTAAAATATGTAACATTTTTTAAACAAAGGTATTACATCTCAGTATATTCAAAACCTAAGCTTGATGAAGGTGAAAGTATGCTATGGTTTGTCAGTCCTAAGAAAGCTCTCTTAGTAAGTAAACAGAGGCTTGTATCTTTGTCCTTTTACCTATCGATCAATTAAAAATAATCTCATCTACTAAAATAAGACGAATGTAATTGCCAAAATTTAGTGTACTTATAAAAAATGTAGTGTCAAGTGCCTGACATAAACATGACAAAAGATTAATCTTTAAATAGATTGAAATGCATAAAAGTACCATGCCTTGCGTAGAAGAAAAAAAAGGCAGATATGAAAAAGAAAAATCACAGAAGAGGAAATGCAAAGGACTACTAAGTGTATGAAAAATGTTGTATCTTAACAGTGATCAACTGAATTAATGTGTCCAACCAGGAGACAGAAACTACTCACTAGTAAACAGAGGAAGTTTAATATAAAGAATTATTAAGCTATTAAAGAATCATACTGATAAAGATGGAAAGTGAACTCTAAAAGGTGCCCTAAGGCTGAGGAAGAAATCCTTTAAAAAGGAAAAATCTTGCTGGACTCGCTGGCTCAGCCTGTAATACCAGCACTTTGGGAGGACAAGGCGAGTAGATTACCTGAGCCTGAGGGTTCGAGACCAGCCAGGACAACTTCGTGAGACCTCGTCTCTACAATAAATAAATAAATAAAATTAGCCGGGCATGGTAGCGCACCCTGTAGTTCCGGCTACTTGGAAGGCTGAGGCAGAAGGATCGCGGAGCCCAACAAGTCGACACTGGGGTGACCATTGCACTCCAGTCTGGGTAACAGAGTGAGATTCCAACTCAAAAAACAAAAACAAAGAAAAGGAAAAACTTTTACTAGGGTTTTCAGAATCCACTGCAAAAGGTGCAGCTGCAGCCCACTGGATAGAAGTTCGCTGGGTAGCCCAAGCTAGAGCAGGACCACAGGTGCCGCGCAAGCAGGTACTCTGTGGAGTGTGGATGAGCTGAAACAGGAGGGCAGATGTGTAGAGGGACTCGGAGCTTTGCTAAACGGTGGGAACAGAGAAGGAGTGGGGGTACTGCTCCATGTACTGCGGGGACTGAGAGCTGGTGGGGCCTCCTTCGCAGTAACAGGGTTCAATACTGAGTGTGACTTGGGTTTGGGCAGCTTTGAGGCAGCACCGGACAGAGATCAGGCAGATGGCTCACAGGTCGGCCAGGGGGCTCACGGGTTGGCCAGTCTAGCAAGGCCCTCTCTCTGAGGGTGCCCCGGTTGAGGAGACTAGACAGACAGCAACAACTTGGGCCAAGGAACAGGCCTGAGCTGGGACTTCGGGTTGTACCACCACGGTCCAAAAAAACAGCAGAAGCAGGTGGGGTAACACATGCTGGCGAAGCTGCACCCTGCTGGCAACTGGCAGAGTGCAAGAAACCACTCTGGGCAGAGCAGGGGACGAAAAAAGCCTTCTGGAGCCTGGCCTGCCTGACTTGCTCTCGCAGTGCTTCTCCAGCGCCCTCTGTTGACAAAGCACGACATCATGCAAGCTGCTGGGGAAACCTTGAAAGGGCCTGTATCCTATTTCCCAGTGAACTTGGAATTGAGAGACAGTCAAAAACTGGCATACCAGCAAAACACAAAGTAAAGTAAAAATAAATATACTTTTTATTCTACTAGTAAAGATTAAGAAATAATAAATACTCAATCACATTGAGATGGGCATTCAAACTTATGGTAGAAATACAAATTGCTAAAATTTTTCTTGAAGGCAATTTAGTAGTAAATTTATTCTGTAATTCTACTTGTAAGACTTTATCATGCAAAAATAATCAGAGATACGAAGACATTTTGCAAAGATATTTATTATACTGTTATTTATTGTGACAAAAGGAAGTTAAAAGCCTAACTGTTCAAAAATAGATAAAAAGATAAAAGAAACATTTATTTATAGAATGTTGTGTAGCAATTATAATTATGTTTCCAAATACATTTTAATCGTAGAGATAAATTTTCCTTATATGTATATAAGAGCATATACACACATATCCCAAAATATTTATTATATCCATAAGATATATATGTGTGTTTTATGTGTGTGCACATTAATATCTGTATATTCACACACTCCCAAACCAAAAACATGTTCAAAGTGGCTATGTATGTAATGTGGAATTATGAGTAATTCATGTTTTTCAAATTTTTCTTTTATTAAATGTTCTATAATCAATATTTGTTACTTTTAAAATCAAGAAATAGAAAATTTGTTATTTAAAAGTTGTCAGGAAAGAAAGTAGCAAGTATATGCAAGCAAAGAGTTCTACTAGATGCAAAAAAGTTCAAGTCCACTATTCAAATGAGACATTAACACCACTTTTGTGGTCATTTAAAAATATATTCATAGTCTGGTATTTTTCCTTTCAAGAGATGAAGTTTAATCCTCCTTACCTTGCAAATGTCTGACTTAGTGACTAACTTTATTTTAATTTATTTTTAATTGATAAGTAATAATTGTATATATTTATGGGGCAGAATATGATGTTATGATAAATGTATACATTGTGGAATGATTAAATCAAACTAATTAACATACCCCTCACCTCATGCACTTATTCTTTGTGGTGAGAACATTTAAACGACTCTTTTAGCAATTAGTGACTTTCTTCTAACAAATAGAGGAAAATGGAACAGACAGCATGAGACTTTGGAGACGAGATCATAAAAGTCATGGTGGCTTTCTCCTTCCTGGCTCTGAGGGAAGTCAACTGCCATGTCCTGAGCATCCCTGGGGAAAAGCCTACATGATGAGAAACTGATCTCTACCAAAACCCAGTGAGGAACTGAGGCACCACCAACAGCCATGTGAGTGGGCCATCATGGAAATGGATCTTCCTGCCTCAGTCAAGCCTTCAGATGACTGCAGCCCTGTCTAATAGCTTAACCACAACTATATGAGTGACTGTGAGCCAGAAAACCCAGTGAAACCACTCCTGGATTCCTGATCCCCAAAAGCTGTGTGAGATAAAAGATATTTACTGTGGTAGGCTGCTAAATTTAGGATAATTGGTTACATAGCAATAGATAACATACAATTTCTGAAACAAAAATTCTGTATAAGCATCATTTTTGGCACAAAATAATTTCTTCTTGTTTTAGGTGGTCCAAATATTTCATTTTCAATCATATATTAGTTCAAATTAAATTATAGATAATATATTATACTTATTAATGGTAGCAAATCTGCCACATTCATCTTTGTATACTTTGCTGTACTGAATATTAAGTTTTGTGTACAGGATAAGCTCAATAAAAAATGATTGAATAAATAAATGAGTGAATTAGGGAATGAATGAGTGAATGAAATAAATAAATTATCTGAAATATTTTTATAAAATCCCTCTGAATGTGTGCCTCATTTTTCCCAAGTCTGATTCTTAGCTAAAAAAAATAGAAACTACTGTATATGGTTTTCCCCAATATAGTGGTATATTTTATTATCTCTTGACTCAATAAAACATTCAGCTAGGTACTTTTACTGTGGAATTTGTTTTAGGACTGTTCAGATTGGTTTTAGGAACTAAACAAGAAGGAAGTCCATTTGCAAAGCAGTTGATGAGGTAAAAAAGACCCGGGTGTAACTATTAGATTGAGATACATACATAGGAGAGGAAAGAGAAATGGGTTGCAATGAGGGAGGGCAAAACCCCTCAATCACATCCATTTGTCTTTTGAATTAACAATATCTAACACAGATTGAGTCATTTGAAATTGTTGATATTTGACATACAAAGGCAGCAATTTCATATTGTTCAAACTAACAGCTCTTATTATTTACCAAGCACTATTTTTAAGCACTTTACATATATTAATTCAGTTAATGTTCATTGCAGTCTCATGAGGAAATTTCTTTTTCAACCTCATTTTATGGAAAAGCCCTATCAATGTTTTCTCATCATTGTTGTTTCTTTTTAAAGTACCATAAATGTAAGAGATGTTGATGAGTTTCTTGGTGGGGGGGGGAGGTGGAGGAGAAAGCAATTGGGGATGATATTGACCAATATATCAAAGTGGAGAAACAGAAGCTCAGAACAGCAACATAAAAAGGTGTATCAGCAATAAAAGGTCAAAAAGTTATTGATTTCTGAGCAGCTTTGGTTCTTGACTGGTACCCAGTCCATTTTTCAAACTTCCTGTAGACTCTTGAAGTCACCAATATCCTTTCAATAAATTCATTTTTG